AATGAGACTTTGGGAAGAGATATCAAGGAATGGCAAGCAGATGGAGAGCCTAGCTGACACATAACAATAGCTGGTGAAATATTACTCTTATTTTCTGTAATAAACACCAAGATCAAAACATTATGCAAGTTAAATTTCCTTGAAAGGTTCCCAGCAGGAGTTTTCCTTTTTGTTTGTGCAGTACGCGATTTCCTCTCACCCACAAAAAACATACCAAGAATGTGCATGTGCCACTAACACTAAGCAGCACTTCCTTAATCACTCATTTCCAACAATTTATGGATGATCAGTGGCAAAAAACGAGCAAAAATAATGAAAGCATGCAATGAAAGCTCATTGAGACAAACCTGTTTGGACTTCCTACTCATTTCTGTGTGTCTTTAAGATGAGGGTCTGATACAAATTAGCCACTGGGAAAAAAGTCATCTGGTCATAAAATACAGTACAGGGTCACTTTTATGTAAGTTTGCCAAAAGGGACATAAACCAGGACAATTTCAAACTGTGACACAGGATAGAAGTATATTAAAAAAATCTTTGTTCCTCCTCCATTGTGCTGTCATGTTGCTCAGCTTTATAGACATTCTGAGCACCAGCTCTGGCCTCTTCGCTTCCACCTGGTCTACCTAATTAATTAAGCAAGGAAGTTACCTCAAATTTTTGTACTATTTGGTTTTATTATCATGCACTACTTTGATGTTCCAGGAGTTAACCTCTTAATCCAAAGACTCTGTGTGTTGTGTTCTGAACATTTTGGGATGTCTGGATAATTTGGATAATTGGTCAGGATGTTGCTGTCGCTCATGTTAAACTTCATGCCGTGACTTCGAGTTCAAAGATCAGTATTAAGGTAAAATGCTTCATAAAGCCTTTTTAAAACTCTGCACTCCTGATTACGCAATACCCAGTTATACCAGTTTCTCACGGTGTAAATCGCACTTCTGTATTTTCTTACAAGGAAATTACTCCTAAACATCTTTATCTTCGTCATCTTCAAACAAATACAAATTTCAGTTGAAGTTACATCAAGAGAAAGCACATTTTAAGGTCAAGGAAGGTACAGCAATTATCTCTTCAAAAATGCTTGCCTTCTTCACACAGCATTTGTGTAACTCTCTGTGCAGCCTTATCACACATGGAAACATCAGCACTGCAAACTATAGATGCTCAACTACAAATAACAGTTTCCTCTTTTGGAACATTAAAGAACAAGGTTAATTCTGAAACAAATGAACACAGCTGACATCTCTTTTGTTCCATAATTGTACTACAGAACATGAAGGCCCATGACAAAGAGCTGTCAGAGGATCTAAACATGAAATACAACTTGATATAAAGACTCTACAAAGACAAAGAATTTAAAGACATGCAAAAGTTTTCAATTCTAGTGCAGGATATTGAAGGTACTTCAGGCTATTCCAGATAATAGCACTGGCTGAGGCATAACATTACAGTGACACAATGAACTCTGATTACTTCAATAGTATTGAGAAGCCTAATTCACACCTGTTTACATGTAAATGTATGCACAAATTCACACTGTATATAAAGTTTTGCACATCACTGTAGATGTATATATATACACACACATTATTCCAGATAATAATGGCATCTGCTATTAGATGGAAATAAACTATAGCAAGAAAGAGCACTTAAACTCTTTAAAAGTGCACTGTCAGCCCTCCCTTAGGCCCCAAATACCCTTTTTGAATTAAAATAGTGGCTTTAATTAAAAGCTAAGCAGAGAATCAGTTTGATTTTTCAGCACAGCGCTGCATCCGCCCATGGTGAGTGTCTAATTTCCGTATTTCTCTCCTCTGCATAATATGCAAGTGGTTGGTTGTTTTAAACTGTTGCCCTAGGGAAGTCAATGAGTCTGTAAGAGGGGCCATGTGCCATTTAGAAAGTATACTAGCGACCAAGAAAAAAGACATAGTAAATTGGAAGATGGTTAATCAAACCCATTCAGATTCATGAAACTTAAAATAGTTAAGGGGGCAATACTTCCATAAAAGAGCATGGAAATAAAAATATACAGACCTTGAAATACTAACCTCTGTGCTATCTGAAATACAGCTTGCAACATGTGACAACAAATAGATTAAAATCAACTTTTAGCATAATCCATGATAGGCAGACAAACACAAAACGTAGGGATTTGGGCCCATATGTAATGAGAATAAACACTATTGTCACGATATAAACTGAACAAAGAAATCCAATAGCAAAATAAAACATTAGTCCATTTCAGAACTGAACCCCTTATTCATTTTTCATAACTTCTATTAAAATCCAACATGTAATTCTTACAAGAACATCTTCAAATTGATGTCTTGACTGTACACCTAAATCCCGGAGGACCTACTTACTCACTGTAACAAAGATTCATCATAACAAAGGCAATTCAATGACCCATTTAAGGTGAAATCCATAAAAGCCTCCAGTGAAACAGTCCTTTTGTCCAAATTAGATCTGAGCAGATACCTAAAATCAACTACTTTCCCCATACCACATATCAAACTCCCAACTGAAAGAATAAAGATTATATATTCTGCACCAACCACTTTATTCAACATCCTCACATCCACAGTAGCTCACTCTTCTCTTAAATGCTGCAAGCTTTGCTGCATGCATGAAATGCTCCTTTAAATGAAGACCACTGAAATCTGATTTTGTCAATTAACCATAATAGCATTTGAATTATTATTATTTTTTTTTAAACCTCTCTGGCTCATTAGTATAACGTGATGAATGACAAGACTTGCACAAGCATTAATAAACTGGTTTTATGTACCACAATTTTACAAGGTAATCATGGTTTCGAAGTCTTTGCTGAAGAGAAAGAGTTAACTAACGTGCTAAAATATAAGGGAAGTCCTTTATTGACATCTACACTCAGATTACAGTTTTATCTCATCTTGAGTTGTAAATGCTTCCAAGTGTACACATATAAAGGTGACCCTATTTATCTTGCTACTAGCTACCAACAAACCCCATTCCTATGTTTAACAGCTACAACATAAATTTTAAAGTTTAATGTAAATCCCAAGTCTAAGGCACCTAGGATACACAATGCAACTGTTGCAGTCAACAGCAATCTACAGGAGAACACATTGTACATATAGTGCCTGAAGGAAAAATAGTCATTCTTGTCAGCACTCCAACCAAGAACAAACTTGACTAAGACTAGCCAATGTACTTCTGAAATACTTTAACTGTAGCTAAACACAGGCAAAAAAAGCAAAATGGAACATTCTCCACTTGAAAACTGAAAGGACAAACTGAGCTGCTGGAAGTGTTGTTAGGCCTATGGATATCTGAAGAGAAGGAAGGAGTGGAAAGCAGAACGTTCTGCAGTCCAAGCTGGGTAAGTAGAACTAAACACAGTAATACAGACAACAGTTAATGCACTGCCAGACTTCAGAAGCTGAATTCATTAGTGTGGTCATCCAAGCTTACACTGAAGTAATTTGCATACATCTACAGTTCAGTCAGTAAAACAGGATACCAGACAGGTATTTACACACCATCCCAGTAGGGTTCCACAGGTCCATTCTGACAGAGCTATCTTGCTCAGTCTATGTAATCTACCAGAAGCTTCAACTGTAGAATACAATCCCTAATTCTTCACATTATTTGTTCTGAATTGAAGTTTCCTTCATGCTATGCTTTCCAAGAACACTTTCTTTGTTTTCCCTTGTTCCCTCAAGTGTCTATATGAACTCAACAATCTCAAACTGAATGGTGCACTTGTCTGGAAGCTTCCCCAATTCCACCAAGAACGAAAACAGTGACTTCATCTCTGTGCATCTGGCCTTGTCAATGCAACCAAGAATTCTGTTTTCCTCCCCACGACAATCATCACCTTGCTGATTCTACATGCAAACCATTGATAACTCAATAGTCTTCTCATTCTTTTCATTTTCCTTATTTCAGGGCACTTTCCAGAATCCTTTGCTTTCTATGAAGTGTCATCCAAAGGGTGTGGAATCCCCTCAAGCATAGTATCATTAAAAATAAAAAGTGTTATCTTCTGGATGATGAAAACTACTAAAAACATGTGCTTCAACAAGTCCTCAGACAGTCATTCTAGTTTCAGTCATTTGATGTTCACCATTTGTAATTCATTTTTCTTTGCCTCTCTTTACAGTAATATTTCATTACATTTCTTACATTTCTTTCATTACATTCATCACATTATTATTCGTATATTATTATTATCACGTTATTGAGAAATTGCTTTCCCAAGTTCCATGCTTCATCAGAAGTCAGTCCTCTCAACTTTACCACATTCAATAAACTTGAAAATTGGTTGTTATTTTCTACTCATTTAAGATAGTTAAGATTAGCTTTCTTAACACATTGTTAATTGTTAAGTATGCCCCACGCATATCAGTGTTCAAGAAGCACTTGGATAATACCCTTAATAAAATGCTTAACTTTTGCTTAGTCCTGCAGTGATGAGGCAGGTGGACTAGATGATTTCTGAAGTTCTCTTTCATCTGAACAGTTCTAAATAAAATCTTTTTTTTGTAACATTTTGACTTTTAGAACTCGCACATCACGCTTTTCAGTTTTCTCCGGTTCATGTTATTTAATCAGCCATCCCATTAAGAAGCCTGGACTTCTTCCCACTGCTTTATTTCTAGTGCATTGATTGAACTTGTTTGTTTAAAAAACATCCCAACTAAATTATCTTCCTCAAAAAAACCTCAGTTAAAACATTATTAAAAAACAAACCACATGTTAAACCGTTTTCTTGTTTTTTTCTTGATGTCAGCATACATGGGACTTTTCCTAAAGATTACTCACAACCACGTATTGTGTGCTCACTTCATCTGCTTGTTCAAGTTGGCACATCTGTATGTACACATTCACATAAGCATCCACAACCCAGCACAGAAGTCCTCCCAAAACTGTAACTTGTTCCACTAGAAATGAGGACTGAGAATGGAACATGTACTGCAAATACTCCACGTGCATTTAACAGCATTTTCCTACCTTTTTTAAGCCAGCAAATCCTTCCGATTCCAAGAAGAAAAAGGCAAAGGGCATCAATACAAACAAACATAAATTGGAAAAAAGAGAAGCAAGATTCCACAAACCTGAAATGAACAAGAAAAAGTTTACATTACAAGTTTCTCTATATTAGAAGTTACTTATGTTACATTTTCCTTTGTTACATACAACAACAAAGCAAACATTTAAGTACTAACAGACACCAGAGTGTAATGGATACAGAGCTATCTATGGGTCACTGCTTAAAAAAGAAAATACTCGTATCATTCTGCATTATAAGCTTTGAACAAGAAATGGGTACCAACTTCGAGAGAAACTGGGTGAAATCTTGGAAAACAGGCTGCAAAATCAGGTTGACTACTTTCACTATATCCCACTTTTTGGTGTATTAAAAAAATAAATTTCAGGAGAAAAGTAGTTTATCACAAGCAAATCTCAAAAAAATCAGTTCTATGTATTCACTATCTCACACATTTTTCCTTCAGAGAAACTTAAACAAACTGTGGACATTTTGAAAAATATTATCACTACCTCCAAACTGAAAGACTGCAGCTCCCACAATGATATAATTAACTCAGTTATAAGAGGAGATTAGACTATCTGAACCTTAGTAATGCTTTCAACATCATCTCCCAGAACATTCCCATGGAGTAGCTCATGAAATATGGGATAGACTACTGGACAATGAGGCAGACTGAAAAGTGGCTGAGCTTTTGTGATCTAAAGGTTGTGAGTAACAGTATAAAGTCAAGCTAGAAGCCAGGCACCACTGGTCCACCCCTGGAGTACTGAGGTTAACATCTTTATTAATGACCTGGATGATAGGAAGGAGTGCATCTTCAGCAAATTTGCCAGTGACAGGAATAGCGTTCTGCTGTTCAGATGAACCTCAACAGGTTAGACAAATGGCACAGAGCACATTGAGGACCAACTGGTGAGAATACAGCCTGGTAGAAAAGGTCTCTAAAGTCCTGTTAGGTACCAAGTTGAACAGGAGCTCTTGCAACAAAGACATCTAAATGCATTCTTTGTTGCATTAGGAGAAGTGTTGTAAGCACTCCAAAGGAGGTAACCCTTCCTCTAATCAGCACTGGTGATGTACATTTGGAATGCTGCAGCCAGCTGTGGGCTCCTCCATACAAATCGGAATATATTCTAACAAGCCCAAAAGACCCCAAAGATAATTAATCTTCAAGAAAAAAAGAGCTGATTTCATCAATGTATATAAATATCTGATGGGGGAGATGGTAAGGAAGCAGAGTTGGACTTCTCGTAGTGGTCTCCAGTGAAAGGAGACAAGGCAACAAGCACAAACTAAAAACAAGAAGGAAAAAAAATATATCTTTTTCACTGCCATTGTGGTCAAACACTGCAACAGGTTGCCCAGAAGCATTCTATAATTTCCATTCTTAGGTGTATAAAACCCAAAAGGCCTTGAATAGTCCTACCTTGAATAGTCTTTTCTAACTGACTACATTGAGTAGGGGCATAGACAAGACAATTTCCAGAGGTCCCTTCCAACCTCAACCACTCTGACTTAGAAGAAAGCAACTGACTACTCCTAGGACATCTGTAAAACACATGTAACATCAACAGGAAGGGATAAGGTTTAAGAAGCAATGTGAAGTGATAACTGATCTCCATTAAGGCTATCCACTTTATTAAGATTTTCTGATATGGACATGTTCTGAAACAAATACGTACTCATAAACATCATCCTATCAGATGTTTACATGATGCTGTATTTCTTCTTAAGAAGTACTACAGCTTAACCTGCACATTCATACAAGCGTAGCTATCAGGTTTAGTTAGTGTGACAAGTACAGCATCCTGAAAATACAGCTTCTATTTAGCAGCTGAGAAAAACACACACACATCCACAATTCTACACGACTAGTATATCACCTGAAATCCAAAAAAGAACATCCTCCAGGATAAAAAAAAAAAATAAAGAAAAATCAAAATACCATCTTCCTTCTCACATACAGGCTTGTTTCCTTTCCAAAAATTATCCAGTTTGGAAAAAATAGGAAGAAGTGCGTGCTGCATGGTATGAGAAGTCATTATGGAATAAAATCCCTGTATTTAGTTCAAAATATGAAATGTTTAGGAGTTATCTTCACCTACTCACTCCTTAAAAAGAAACAAAAATGAAAAGTAAAAGAAGAAAAAAGATTTTCACCAGACTTATGTTTATTCCCTGTAAAATATTTAATTTAAAGGAGGAAAAAAATGACAGGGAATGTACTTCATCAGTTGATAGTGCCAGGACACAAGCTCAGCTAAGTAAGTGATACAAAATAAGACAAGAAAAAGCCAAAAGATGCATGAAATACAATACTGAAATGCTAAAGAAAACAGACTGCCTGAAGGTGGCTAATCTTAGCTAACAAAGAAGGGGATTTTTCTCTTTAGAATTTGCTGTCAGGAAGGTCCTGTTACCATGTAAGGAACGTTAATTAACACACAACAACATCAGGAAGAATAGAATCAGAAGTCCTTATCAGAAATACAATAACAAGAGTTCTGTTTATGTGTGTATACATTTATATATACGTATGTATAAACATATATATACACACCCACTCCTCCAGAAAATGCACAGAAGTTTTTGAGTTGAAATATTATTACCTGATTTTGTTTGTTTTGGGGGGGACAGGGGAAGGTAGGAGTCTTTCTAATTCAGATATTTTCTCTAATGGAAAATATATCTGAAACTAACAAACTGAACTAATTAAAACTGTATACACAATTGTCAAAATTTCATCAGCTGTGTTACATGTCTCTACAAATCAAAACAGTGCTAAGAGATGCATGTAATACGTACAGAGCATTTTAAGAGATGGGATGGTGGTACACATCTCAAGTGATGCCTAAGAAGTTGGAAACTAAAATTTACACATTAACAGCTGATACACAATATTAAACTGCAGAGCTACAACATAAATTTAACATTATGAGAGGTAAGGACAGTACTGTAGTGCTGATGACATACATTCACACACGTATATATGCATACATTCCAACAGGTTCTCATTTATCTTTCTTTCCATCCACTTCACTGACTGAACACAGAGGGCCTTCTTCCCCTATTACATTTCTAAGTTATCAAATTAGGATAAGAAATCAAATTAAAATACACACAAAAAATAAATAGTTACTATTATATAGATCATACCATGAAACTGTCTAAGATGTTTACAGATCTTAACATATATAAAGCTTTAAGCCGTTTTAGTGGTTTGTTTTGGGGAAAGGTCTCTTTTCTTAAACGTTTTTGCAGTGACTTAAGAAAATCGCCAAAGAAATAAGTTAATAAAACAAAAATTAAAAACTTGGTCTTTGACAACCATAGAACAGCCTCAGCAATTCTTTTCTGATTCATGACTGTTTCTTTGCATTCTACCTCCACCTGGTGGCTGTACCTAACAACAGCACAAGTGAACACTACAGCTGTTAGAAGCTCAACCCTGTCTGGGTTTAGCTCAGCACACATTAGTTAAGACTATTTAATCTGGGCCTAGCTAAAGGCCCTCTTCCTAGTTTCAAAAATTGAAAGCATATACTTTATTCTATGGCATTATTCTATATGACAAAACAGACAAAAAAACAACAGCCAACAGTAAAAACAACACACCTTAAGATTACAATTAAGTTTCTCAGACTATATCTGCCATCGATAAATTAACATAAGCATTTTAAAGCAATACCAGTTTTCCCATTCAGTAACATTTGCAGAACAGTAAAAAATCAAATAAAATAAAATCAATGCTAGACAGTCGCAGAGATAGCAACATTTTCTCTATCAGCTTTCAGCACGTATTATTCACAAATCGCTTCAAATAGGTAGACTATTCTTTCACAGGAACAGGGTTTTAAAAAGCAAAGCAACACTACTTTGCAAACCCAGTGAATGCCACAAGAGGGAGCCCCTTCCAAAGGTAAAGTTCTGAAATAAACACCGACTTGTCCTCAAGTTCTGAGAAGCCCCTGAAACCTGTAAAAATTCTCTCCTGGCTTCACACCAACTGAGGTAAATTCTGTTTTAGTTCAGTCACCTCTACCACTAGCACCAGCTTTGATCAAACTTGGAAACACACAGATGCTGACTGTTGGCCATTGCTATTGGACTTAGGAAATGTACACGATACCATGCAGGCTTAAGGACTGCAACTTTAGGTTGTGGATGCCCCATCCCTGGAGCTATTCAAGGCCAGGCTGGATGTAGCTCTGGGCAGCCTGGTCTGATGGTTGGCAACCCTGCACATAGCAGGGGTCATTCAATGATCATTGTGGTCCTTTTCAACCCAGGCCACTCTATGATTCTATTACTATCATATTAAATCAAAAGATGATGCTCACAGAACAGTTCAGAGGCCTTCCTATCTGAAAACTACATTTTTCCAGTAGATTTCCAAATAACCTGCATTTTCTGAAGTATTATAAAAACTCTAACATATAGAATACTGCAGAATTGCTCGCTATAGAACTTTCATCCTCTGCAACACTGTATTCTCCCCAAAGTAAACTCAGACACAGTGTGAAGGATTATTTTCTATGAAACAGTCTCTTTTCCCGTGTTTGAGAGAGAAGAATATAACTGCCTGAACAGCTAAATTGCCCATTACCAAGTAGGAGACGTGCTAAACTAGCAGCACCCTAATACAAGTGTGACTATCAAAAAACTTTGAAGTCATGGAGCCTGATCCCTCATTACAATAGATAATCTGCAGGTGCAGTCAGGCTACTCAAAACTTTAGCCAGTTAAATTTCGGAAAATTTCCAAGGATTTAGTCTCTCTGGATGACCTTTTAACCATCCATTGTGAAGCATATTTCCCTTATGTCCTGCACACATTGTCTCCTGCTTCATACTGCATGCAGCAGAAAAGAATCTGCCTCTTTTCTCATCCCCATGTAGGTCAGTAAATACTGCAGTCAGCTCCCTGAGCTTTCTCTTTTCCACAATCTCTTTGCACCCAGGGATGCAGCCCTCTGATCTGTCTGTTCCCTTTCATTATCTAACACAGTCCTCTCCTATAACACTCAGGGTCTCTACCCTCCCCTGCCTCCCCCTCTGTGCCACAATTTGGTACAGACTCGTGAAATCCTAAAGCAGACCTTGCTAGCAAAGACTAAGGCAAGAATTACCTCAAGTTAACAACAGGATGATGCTTTCCTTCATCTTGCTGTATATGTGTCCCTATGTCCCAGTTAGGAAATCAGGCTTCCTTAATTTCACCCCAAAATATTAATCCAGGTGCTATTTCTATACTCCTCCTAGGCAGCTCATCCCCACTTCTACCATCCATGAAACTCCTCTTCAGATTTGACCCCAGGAGTTCCCTATCACACCACACCTACTTGCTGTCATGCACACTCAGGTGCACTCATACAGCACTTTAAGGAGGTTACCCCTGGAAATAAGCATCTCTCCTGGGTTGCTTCACCTTTGGGGCATTCTCCAATGATATCCCACTTCCTGAACAGTACAGAGACAATTCCCTTAAAGTATGTCTTTATTCCATAATTTCTCTTATTTTCTTGTTTTGCTATGTAGATCACACAAAAAAAAACACTCAATTTCAGAAAGATAACAGACGACATGCTTTATCTCCTGGCTTTACCTACCCACACATTAAATCTGTTGTAAAATTACTTCTTCTCATTAATGAAACCTTCCAAGTTGGGGGATGGGGAAATTCAGGAATTTGCTATGCATATTATCAGATGTCTTAATGAAGTGTGTATTACCAAACAAAAAATGAGATTTGATGTGATTTCATGCAGAGCCCAATTACCATCTTAACTTTATTCATTAGGCAGTGGAATGGGCTGCCCAGGGAGGTGGTGGAGTCACCAACCCTGGAGGTGTTCAAGGAATGTTTGAACATTGTGTTGAGGAACATGGTTTAGTGAGAACTATTGGTGATCAGTGGATGGTGGGACTAGGTGATCCTGTGGGTCTTTTCCAACCTTGGTGATTCTATGATTTTATGATTTCAGATTAAGTACCTCTGAAATTTCAGAGAGTATTAATTTATAACATATTATCTCCTTCCTCCTACCAATTGCATTGAAGAACATCATGTTCATGTTCCCACCAGCTATTTCCCTGAGACACATAGAGGTGTGCAAAAAGTTATCAAATTAGTTAGTATTCATTACATATATTTTCTTACACTCGAGCATATTAATCAGTATTGGAAAGAATACAAAGCTCAAGGCATCATCCCTGCAAGTATGTTTCCAGAAATTACACTCTTCTTGAACTGTTTCAATGAAAACAAGTTGCATTTTTATCATGCCTCTTTATTATGCTTGATACATCTACATTCTGATTTTCCTTACTTACAAACAATTAAGAGTTGAATTTAACTATCTAATCATAACTGCCCACAGCTAGCATGTTTCTTCAAGTGAAATGTCCTTTATATACAAAGTAGTTATCATCATAAGCAAACAGGCTTATGAAATTTGCATTTACACATCAGGAAGTTTAACAGTATGTTTTCAAGTTACTTAAGCTTAGGTAGGTCTTATTTACAACAGTATTTCAAGAAGTCAATTTGGTTTATTAAAGAATTACTCAGGCTTGAAGGGATTAAACAACAGAACAATGAAAACAGATTTTTATGACGCACAATCCAGCAGCAAACCCAACTAACCAAGAAAATATCAACAATTCATCTAACATCTCAAATGAAAATAGTGTTATTAGTTTAAAAATAATGAAGATATCCATTTTAATTACATTATGCTGAGTACTAACCATGAATTAGTGAGCCATTTAACCACTGAATATAGTAGTTTTGTGGAAAAGAAAGCAGGATCTCATTGCTGATTATTGAGAAAGGCAGAAGCAGGACTGCACCAGCTGAAACTGCTAGAGTGAAGGTGCTCAAGAACAGCCTGAAATTTAAAGAAATGTACCACTGTTACCAACAACAACATGCTCTGAACAGGGTTAAACAAAGTAGTTAGCTACCTATTAATTGGTATCTGAAGGCAATCCTGTGATTTCCACAATATTTCACATCAAACAAGCAAATTCTAATACCAAGTAGCTTACAGAATACACTGAAATACTTACTAGTAACTAATTACTAGTAACTAACTAGTAATCCTCTTTGGAATTGTATGCATTCAAAATTACAAGATAAATTGCTGAAATTCATGAAATTTCTTTTGATAATTCCTCTTACTTTTAATTTCCACCTAAATTCTTACTATACTTTTTAAAAGCAGAGCAGCTTTTTAGTGTCTACAAAATGGGTACAATTACACAAATATATTAACATCAAACAAATAATTGCTGCTTTTCTTTCACAAATTACATATTAGAATATCATCTTACAGCTTGGGGTTTTTTGATAACTGCGAAGTCAATATAGAGGCATCATTAGGATTATGTAAAGTATTATTCCTTTCAGATCACAAATACAATTGAAATGAAATGCCATCTTGTGGCATTGGAAAGAACTGTGCTCTTCAGAAAAAAAGGCAAAAACATTTTTACAGAACAATTCACTGACAGAATAAAGCTGCGTAACAAAGAAATTGGGAATTATCTGAGTTTATAACAAGAAAGTCTATAAGCCACTTACAGAAATGTTACTTTTCCATAATAGACTCTGCAAATATATTATTCATTCCAAATTACTTAATTTGCAAAAGAAAGTGTGGCTAATTTCATTCAGAAGAAGGTACTGCTATATGCTTTTGTTGGTTTGAGCTATTTTTCTTTTTCTTAAGGATACTGAATTATTCTAAGCAAGAATTGTGAAACCTAACACACTATATTCTAAGATGCTACTGCAGTTGGACTGTTTTCTCCTCCACCCACCTCTTAAGTCCTGCAAAACTATGCAAGGAAATACATATCTGCATGTTTGACAGTCATTGCTTTCTGAAAAATAATATGCCCACCACTTTCAATGAAAAGATATTATTCTGAAGTGCTAACGCTGTTCTGACTTACACTGCAGCCTCATGAAGTACAGAGTATTTACAATTGATATTTGTTATATTTTTAAGCTAAACTAGGAATAAAGATGCAGGGATAACAGCCACCAGACAAATTTTACTCTTTGGATGCTGAAAAATTCAGAGTCAGGCTAAGATCACTGCTGTCACAAAAATCATTCAACCTAGAAGAGTTTTAATTCACTGCAGTTTTAAAGCAGAGGAGAGAACCTTTTCTCTAAATTATAGCTGAGAGCTTCCTACATTAGAAAAGTAGGTAGATTTACCTCTCTTGATCTGAAGGCCTTGTGGCAAACGAGCATTTTAAATAGAAAAATATCAGACATCAGTGAGCAAAGCTTGTCTAAGATTTGTTTCATGTTTGTGCGCCTTTCAAGCTTGCCACAAGTGCACAACCAAAAGTGAACAGCTTGCAATGTACTCGGCACTTTCCCAGAGTACAAGACAAATCAATAAAACATGCAATGAAGCTCTCCTTCCAACAAGATGACAGTACCACCACGGAAGAGCTAAGAACATTATAATAAGTCAGTAGCATACCCACACAGTTTAGCAAATTACAAAACTGAGAGGGCAGCAACAGCTCACAGGTGTTCTTTAAATCTTCAGATATATCTAAATAGGAGAGATTAATATCTAGCTTTATTAAAAAGAACAGGAAGAGGACAGTCTCTGGCAGACCAGCAGGCCTGGCAGGAGTTTCACTTCCATTCATTATTCTTTTAGAAGCACTCTTCAGATGATCAAATGCAGATGTCTACTCCATTGTGAAGTTGCTCCCCAGAACCCACTGCTCCCCTTGACAAGATTGCCACTGAGTAGCACAATGGGACATACTTCATATATAAACATCTACAGTTTACACACCTTAACTTAGATGCAAATCTTGCACTGCACTGTACCTCTAGCATCAGGTCCCCATGCAACCTTTTGATCAACATAGTGCTTACCAGGAAGGGCGCAGATGAAAGCAGCCCTACACCAAACTGCCGCCTCATTACACCTTTCAGAATGCAAGTTGCCACCTAATCAAATATTCTTCCTCTGCTCTATGAAAGCACCATTTATTTGTCATCATATTTCAAATAGATTTTTACTTGATTTGGAAGCATACACAATTCCTGTCATATATTCAGGAAAAAAAAAGTCGTAAAAAGAGAGCTATACATACGATATTCTGTTAACTATGGCATCTTCATCCTCTTGCTCATCTGAAAAAAAATAAATAAATAAATTGGAGCCAGTAAAGAAAAATCTGTTGTTGTATATTCCAATTTTTTTTGAAATAAAAGAGGTCAAACACTTAAACCCTTCATCTATTCCTTATACCCTTTTCTGTACCTCTTGGTGTTATTTATACATTCGATACCATCTTAGAGTGAGCTTTTTTCTTTAAAGTCTGAGGTTTTCCATGAAGTTACTCAAAAATTATTTTTCAACTTAAGAAGAAACAAAGCAGGTGTTTCAAGTTTAAGAGTCATGGACACTCAAAATAAATGAGTAGTCACCAACACATGTACTTTTACAGAATAATTTTGTAAGAACAGGAGTTTTGCTTCCATTTCTTTGAGTGGAATCCGATGCTGTTTTGATGGGAATCTTATGGCATTTTCAGAGATCAAGTGCAGATCTTTTATGAGAAGTTGTTGTAGAAACAACAAACAACTTTTCCAAAAAACTCCAGAAGTGCTAACATTACAAACTTATCAGTAAGATTCCAGCAAGCATATGAAATTTGTCTATGTAAACAGTCACAAAACTTTCAAAAAGTAATGACAGCTGCAAGCATTTCTTCTCACTAGCTGATGAGATCAACTGCCAAAAAGGGAAAAAGCATCCTTACAGCCAACAGTTTGTCAAACCAATTCTTTCTCCCCATTCTTCTATACACCTCCAAATAGCAGCAGATTTGTAATATCCAGAATACAAACCAGGATAACAACATATTACATTTTATTCACTTGTTTAACTATTCTCTACGTTTAAAGAGCATACATCATTTAAAAAAAAAAAAACACTATATTTATTTAATATTTTACTTTTTATCTTGTATACAAGTCCATCTATGAAATAAACTTTATTCTAACAGGTCCAACGATCAGTTTCTACCCAAATTTGAAGCATCAACATCTTGAGGCAATCAAATGTTTTTCCAGCATGACTGACTGGGCATCAAGTCCCAAATAAGCCATCAAGAGTCAAACATTCTACTGCTGTATACATTATTTTTATGGTATTTACCTTTAGAAGAGATAGAAGAAAATGACAGGGGTCCCTACAGTTTAGTTTCAGACATACAGTGTTTCTAAAGTAAGGGAAAAAACTATTATCTCAAGGAATAGGAGTTCAGTGAGGAGGTCATAAAGAACAGGTTAAGGAAGAACACCAAAACAACTACACCTGAACAAAGCAAAATCACTACACTAAATCTACTTCCCTTCAGTAGTACTGGCAACCTTTTCATTTAACAGCTAGAGTTCTGAACTTGATTTTGACACAAAAAGACACTGATTCTAGCAAAGACTACATGAAAGTAGAACAAGATCTCAAGGCAATAGAGACAGAATTTCCTACTTGAAATTCTCCCCTTTCTTCTGTCTCAAAACAGTTAAAATCCAGGCTGCCACAGTGCCATAATGAAACAGGCTGTGGCCATCCACACCTCCTCCTTCCAACCACATATTCTCACTCAATCATGAAGGACCAGCTGTGGCTCTCACTGATCTTCACAGACACTTCAATATGTTTCCTCCCTTCACATTACACAGAAGGCTCCAAGATGTGCTAGAGCTGGCACAACAGAAGGGATGGAGAACTCACGGCTTGGGGTCAAAGGGAGCTGACAAAGGGTAAGACAGCAGCATATACCAACAGATCAGCACAGGATGACATAGTACAGCAGTCAGAGAAACACATTTCAGCAGAGATCCAGGCAGGTTCTTCTGCTTTTCTTGTGATAGCAGAGAAGAAAGGAATCACCTATTCACTCAAGAAATAAAACAAACTTTGAATATATTATTAACTTCATGCTTACCTGCTTTTCTTTTGTATCTTGTGATTATGAAGTAGGACACTATGTAGAGAACAGCAAATAGGAGAAAACAGATCTGGAATAAAAAAGTTGCATTTTTTAAATTGTGAAAAATGTCTGGGCTATAATAAAAAATAAACAGAAAATACAGTATCAATAATTTAAAGTTCAATGCAGATCAATAGTAGCACTGGTATCATTATCATAAAATCAGTACTGGTTTTATGGTTTCTATCTTATTAATAGAAAGTTAAACCAGTAAGAACAACTCAAAGTAATGCTACTATAGTAATCCACTACAAGGCCACCAGGTTTTGCCTTAAAATGGGAACAAAGAAAAGCCCTACCAGCAGCAGTATTTTATGTTTGTTTGTTTTGTGTGTGTTTGGGGTTTTTCTTTTGTTGCAGGGTTGTGGGTTTTCTTTTTTTGTTTGTTTTTAAGTTTGAATCCATCTAAGTTATGACAATATAAAGAGCAGTAACACATTTAACATAGACGCAATTGTACAATGGGCTTTTGAAGATCTATAATGGAATAAGCTATCAACATACATAAAGAAGCAGCTGTTTGGTGTTTCCATCATACATTGAGCCCAACCAATTCTAGGCAGCATTATACACCAGCAAGACTGCCACAGTGGACATCACATGTGAGCCAGTCAAACACAGTCTCCTCTACAATCACAGAAGCCAAGGGCAGAGCTCCCCTCCTCACAAGTCAGACAGCTTATTTAGGTCAGACATACCTGCAGCCTGGGGTGACTTTCTAAGTCTCTAAGACCTGGCACTACAACTTCAATACAATTAGACAAGGTCAAAACAGCTACAAATACTTCAAAAATTTTGAGAGGGATGGAATTGAATGATAAGACAATTTTAATCCTCCATGTGTTAGGGGGTAACTAAAAGAATCAAATCTCTTGAAGGAGACTTCAGTGCCTCAGCACTGCTTCCTTAATCTAGTTTACTGATGCCCATTAAAAACATGAGTCAGTCAGAAGACAGTAAAGCACGTCGCTCTGCGATGATGTGACCCTTAATCTTCTTTAGTACTTCAACAATAACAGTAAGGTGCTGTATACCAGCAGCATAATTCATTTTTATTAGCTTGCTAACACAGTATCTATGCACAAAGACTGAGAAACTACTTGAGTAGCCCTAATGATTAAGACTATTTTTCTATTTCCTTTTGCTGGTGCACAATACCAGCAGTCACCAAGGAGGTCTCAGAACACAGCAGTTAACTGAATAAGCCCAAATTGTTTTAGGAGGTTTTATTAACAAAGAGAGTTCACCCTATTGCCTACATAGGCTTTTCAGTCAGTTCTGCCTGTTATCTGCAAATCATAACATTAGAACACTGATATGTTTTGCGTTTTGCTCCAAACTGAGTTTTAATCTCCACTTTGATCTGAAATTGCAAGATTGCCTCATGAGGCAGCACTTAAACTACTTATTTAATTGGTTCTTTAAAGATCTGTTGCCTTTAATCATAGAACAGCTTGGATTGAAAAGGACCTTGAAGATCATCAAGTTCCAACTCCCTAGCAGGAAAGAAGGACTTATTAAAAAATACAAATAAAAGTAAACTAGTGGTGTTATTTCTCTCATGCAGCCACACAGATAAGAATCAAAGCACAGCCAAGAGTCTGAGCATGGCTGCAGTTTCCCTACATGCTTTCCCCAGCAATAGTACCATGCCATAGGTCTGAAGTGGCAACTGAGCTCATTCTGAACTGATAACACACAGTGGTGACGTCCAAAATCCTGATGCTAAAAATCAGATTTCATAACTATGCCTTTGAATTCAACTATTTCATCCAAATAGAGCTCGCTGCCCCAGCTTCCCAGAGACTGCTACAAAGACAGCAACTTCAATAACGAAAAGTGATTTAATAAAAAAAAATAATATGCTGGTATACTTTTGAATTGGAAAGGGCAAAAACCCAAGCATCTTGGGTTTTCAGAGCACTCCAACACAGCCTGTCCTGTCAGTAATGGATAACGCAGTGCCAGTGCTGAAAAGAGTCCTTCTCTAAGTTTCCAGTTCCTTTGAAACTAGACCAAGCCTACAGACAGAGGCATCTAATTTTAGGCATCCACCTTTGAAAATTAGGTATGACATACACAGGGTCAAGTAAAATTATTTTTAAAAAGAATCCACAAGACCCAAATAACTTTGGTTCTGTCTAGAATACTGTTAAGCCCTCTTTTATTTAAAAAAAAAAAAGAACATAAGTATGACTGCAATCTCAAATAAAATAGTTGCCCTTTACTCTAGCTTTGATTGCAAGGTTACAGTGAAAATATGGGTCTGTACTTAGAGGACACCCCTGAGATTGCCGACCTATTTGCAGGGCACAGCAGGAGAAAGCTGCCCAGTAACATGAACTGTCAAATGCTGCATTTCTGGTCTTAGATGACAGCTACTCAACAACTCAGCAGTAATGTGTAACTATATATCTTGGTGTAATTACCCTTCTACTTCTGTCACAATGAAGAAAAAATGTTGCCATTGTAAATATTTGGTGAGGTGTTTATTACTGAAAACACATCGAATTTTTAATGAATAAAGAAAAGAAAGCAGCAAATTCTCATCAGTAGAAGCTCCAGGTTCTAACAAGAGCGTTCACAAGTTAAAGCTCTGTACTGTTCAAAAGTCAAGGAAACTCAGAAATGTGTCTCCAGTCTCAATTTATAGTCAGTGGAACCCACAGAGCTGTTTGCAACCAGCTTTCCAAAGGGAGCAGCAAAAGCTAGCATCCTAACTATTTTTAGAGTAGAACTCCTTTAGGATGAGGAAAAGGAATGTGTTTGTCCATGAAAGCCAAGGAATAGACTCCACTGTCCTGTCACGCTGCAATCCTGGGCTCTTACTCCTCACACTGCTCTTTGTTTCAAGGTATTTTTGTACAGCAGCAAAAAAAAGACTACTTGCCCATACTTGCTCTAGTTTTAGTCCATGTTTCTTAATTACAAATGAGTGAGCTTGTATGCAGTACTCCAGGTAAGCTCATGGCTACCACAAGCACTATGCCATCCCTTCTGCATTCAAAATACTTTAATCTGTTCACCCAAAAACCACGTCAGCAATTGAGTTATCCTCCAATCACCGAATTCATCTCTGCTGTTCTCCCCATCTGTTGAGCAGCTCTCAGCATGGGATAGAAACTTGTTTTCAGGGCTCAAGTGCATCACCACCTCTTTTTTATCCCTTTTAGAAATCACACCTTAATCTCTACTGCCTCTATTTCAGGGTAGCCTTTGTGCGCTGTGTTCCACTGATGCAGTGATCTCCTAAAGAAATGAGTGCATCCCAAGAGCAGGAGCTCTCCTCGTTGTCAAAGCTGAGCAAGAATGCTCTTAATGCTGAGACCCGAGGAAACTGAATAGCAGATTTTTCCTAATGTGACATCTGTTGTCACAGACACTACAACCAGCTCCTTATTCACTTCAAAGCTCCACTACAAAGGCATATCTACTCAGTTTAAGAAACATATTTATATGTATTCTCTGGATATAGCCCTTAGCATATGCAAAGGAAACAATCTAACAACAGTCACGTGTCTTTGAAAAATAATTCTTAGCAACTCTTTATTTTTCCCCCTTTAAAAAAAAGCTTAAAATAGGGCAACTCCACATATAACTTTTATTTCTAATCGAAGTTCTTAAGAATCATCCAGGTAGTCAGACTGAAATAGAACACCATTCCAGAACGCACACCATGCACAGAAGTACATTGGTATCTTTAGTGAAGGTTTAGTGAAGGAAGAACCCATATTCTTTAAAAAAAAACTTTCCTTCAGAAAAGTATTATGTATGACAGTAATATATAAGCTAAAACCACAACGTGCTATTAAATCCAAGTCATGCTGCAAGCCATGTTTTCAATTTTCAATCAAGAAACAGTGTTCTATGCCATCATTCATCTCTGCAAGAAGATCTGACAAAAGGTGAGGATGCTGCAAACGCAGTGAATCTGGGACAAGTTGTATTGCTCATAACCTAAAATCTTCTGCAAAGTTTGTCAGTGAAGCTCAAATTAAGCTCTTCCAGATGCAAAGGGAAAGTGAAGACAGAATGTACACAGCTGTGATTAATGAGGATTCCTGGCACTGATGGCATTAATTAAAAACCTTTAAGATTTTTCACTTCCTTAAATTTATTTTAATTTTACAGAAGCACAAAGCAGTCATCATGCTGCTGTAGTTAGGCTGCTCCTAGGAATCTATGTTCTCACATTACAAGGGAAGCACACAATCTTTGATTGACCAGGTGCACCCAAACACAAAGGAAACCAACAAGAATGTAAGAATTTTTACTGTCAGAGTCCAACAGTTAAGCAAAATAATTTATGTGTTGTTTTTTTTTTTTTTCCTTCTTCTAAACACCACCCAGCAACTGAAAACAAAACACACATGTGGTGCTACATTTAGGGTCTTCCTTTTAACTGGGAGTAAGTAATTCATTTATGTTTCTCTGCATGGAAGTAAAAAAAAAAAAAAATCTGGCTCAACAAGCAAACAAACCCATCCTTTCCTGGAGGTTTTTCATGTTCATTTAGGAAATGAAGTGCTCTGTTTCTGCTGAGGTTACACACAGAACACACCAAGAGAAACCATTTCTGGAGATGCACTGCACTTTGTTATCTTATATCCAGCTCTTCCACAGAGAATCATAGTTCTGGATCTGTACCAGACAGCTCAGCTCCTGTGAGGATGAAGCTGGAGATGAACTGCATGCTTTTCAGCTTGTTGCTATGTGCATCTGAGGGGCTGGCACTGCAGTCTAATATTAAACACAAGTAACAAAAGTCTGAACTAGCTCAAGTTACCTTGTACATATCCCAATATTAATAAATATCAGCTGACATCAATTTGTCCATGCTGATGACCTTTAAAACTTTGGACCTAAGTTCATGCCATGGATTGAAAACCATCATCCTCCTCTGTTAACTACCCTACTCTAGCCAGTGATGCCCTCCTGCTATGAAAAAGCTGGGTATCTTACAGAACACAGTGCTTTAACAGTAAGGAACCACCACAGAGCTCTGATTTAAAAAGAGCTCACAGTCCT